GGGCGGGGTCCGCCGGGGTGGGGGGGGGCACCGCCTGCCCCTGCTGAGCCGCTTGCCCGCTGCCTGCCCCCGGCTGGTACATGTAGGCGTTCACCATGCTGGGATCTGGGGCAGAGAGGGCAGAGATTGAAGCAACCACCTTGCGCTCAGCCTCCACCCACGTGGGATCAGCTCGCCGACATACCCGTCCCTGTGACGGGCATTGCGGTGTACGGCCCCGTGCCCCCTTGTGCTGCCTGGTTCATGTATACGCTGTGCATGGGAGAGCCCTCCACGGAGCCGGCCGGGCTGAAGGTGCCAGGGAAGCTGGTGGGCCCCGAGGGCTGGTAGATCACCCCACTGGCTGCGGGCATGGCCTGGAGCTGTTCAGGGAAGAAAAGCAAGCTTTAGGCCATGCCCCCGGGGACCTGGCAGGAGGGTCTCTGGTCCGGCAGCCGTACTTGGGCATAAGGCAGAGAGAAGGCTGGCATCTGGGCTCTCATCTGGATGGTCTGCTTCTGCTGTTCCAGGCGCATCTGCCTCTCCTTCTCCTGCTCCTGCAGTCGCTGGATGGCCAACTGGCGCTGCATCTCCAGGTACTCCTGTGGGAACGGGGCCGTGACGGCTAGAAGCCAGGACACCGCAGCATCCCCTCCTGCCAGGGCTGCCATCCCTGCCAGCCCTGGGCTGGCCCAAGGTGCAGGCAGGCCTGCTGGCTGACGCGGCTCCCGATACCCTGGAAATGCTTCCCTGCCTCACCTGCTTCTTCTGCCTCATGATCTCCAGCTTCTGGGCCAGCTGGATCTGGCGCTGGCGCTCTGCCTCCTCCGCTGCACGGCGCAGCTTCTCCCGATGCTCCTCCCGCAGCGCGTTCAGAGCCCCACGTGCATCCCGAATCTGGGCCAGTTTGTCCTGCAGGCCTTCGTAGTACACTGGGGAGGGAAGAGAGAGCCTCAGGGACCCTCTTGGTGCAGAGCACTCGGACCACCCCTGCACACTGCACCGGCTTCTCTCCAGAGAGGCTGTGTCATGGGGATGCCGAACCCCGGCGCTGGGGGAAGCCCCGGCAGCCACCCGCTCCTCCCCAGGATGCCCTCCCACACCCCCGGCTGGGCAGCTCCCACGTACGCCTGCGCTCATCCAGCTGGTTGAGCAGCTCCAGCAGCTGGGGGTGCATGTTGTTGATGGACTGGAAGAGGGACAATACGGCAGAGTCATTGGTGATGCTGCGGCCCCGCATGTGGTTGCTCTTCATGCGGTTGACAAACGTGGTGACCGCATTCTGCAGCGCCTTCAGGAACTGCTCATGGTTCTCCTCAGACTCGCCGTTCTGGTACTGCTGCTGGAAGGACAGGGCAGCCAGTCAGACTCAACTCTCCCGTGCCGAGAGCCAGCAGCAAGCCTGCAGAGCTGCGTGACGGGGCTGAACAAAGGAGTTGGGCACTCCTCACCCCTCAGAAGCTGCCAGACACGGGTCCAGGCCCCCTCTTACCTCAACAACACCGAGCGGGGCGGGGTGGCCTTCCCCAGGCTGAGCAGCTGGCTCTGTGAGGGACAGAGGTGCTGACGGGGTGGGGCTCTTGCGAACTTCCTCTTGTTTCTTCTCCCAGTAGTTGCGGTTCAGGTACCGAGCCAGCTGACAGAAAGAGAGGGAAGATGAGCATCGCAGCCCCGCTGGGAGTGAGCCTGTGCCACGGACTAGGTAAAGCCTGGATCCTTACCTCCGGGTCAATGTCCTCAGCCAAGGGAGCAGAGGAATTCTGGGAAGAGATAAACAGGGAAATCCAGTTCAGAGAAACCAGAGACCCACAGCTCCCACACAGATGTCCTGCTCGGACCTGGCCATGCACAACCACCAGTGCTGAGCACCAGCAAGAGACTGAAAGGGGACAGCCGTCTCCTTCAGCCAGACACACGCTGCAGCTACTGGAAGCAGCGGCGGCACCTAAATGCCGGCTCAGTACAGACCTTCTTGCTGAAAACACAGTAGTGCTGTGAAAGAGCAAGGGATTGCACGGGGCAAATCTTTTCTTTCAGAACAGGGATTAAATCTGACCCAAGCAGGGCAGGCTTGCACCAGGGAAGTGGCCTACGTCCAGCCACTTCACGTTCAGGGGCTCCCATGAACGTACCACAGGTGGGGAATAGAGCGTGCTGACCGGGGGGGCTGATGAGGTGACGGGTGTGGGCTCAGCCTTCGGGTACATGGAGTAGGTTGTTTTCTGCCTCTGCAAAAGAGAAAAAAAAACCAGTCAACTCAGGGACTGTCCAGACTCCTCCGAATCACCCAGTCAGCAACAGACTGGGCACACTGGGTGGGCGAGGTTCCTAGGAATGGTCAGGCATGGCTGGCAGACCCAGCCTCGTGCTTCGTACAGTTCCCGCAGGCCAGCGTGCCCCAGGGCTTGCAGCTTGGGCACAGCCTGCCTCCAAGATTCAGGACTGCAACACAGCATGTGCCTGGCTCCGCTTTCACCCTCTCGTTCCACAGGCCCTGCGACTCCTCACACCAGGACATGCCTAGAGATCTGTTACCGCACAGCTAGGAGATGCCCAGCACATCGGGGCTGTATGGCAACAACCACTCCCAGATGCCAAGCAGGGCACAAACCATTCTCTCCTTCTCCTCGGCCTCTGACTGAGACAAGGCAATAGCTAGCTGGAGCTCTTCCTCCTCTTGCAGAGCCGTCTCATCACGCTTTGGAGGCAGCTGCAAGCAGAAAGATGAGGAGGTAAAGGGATCAACAAGCAGGTCAGGATCACTAGATCACCTACAGGGCAGCCACTCACCTGGGACTGCTGAGAGAGAGGGCTGGTCAGGTACTCGGGGGGCAGTTCAGAGGTGGCAGCAGCTTTACCCTCAGCTTTCCTGTAGTCAGAAAGAGGCGACAGTGCAGACTGAATGCTCCTTCCTCCGCACTAGAGCCCCAGCTCTGCGCAACACTACAGCTGTAAACCCCGTTCCCAGGAATGAAGGGAACCCAGCCCAGCCTGCACAGCTTGGGAGACCCTCGCTCTGGTCTGCAGAAAGGTGGCTCCATGCCAAGCTTCTCCCCTCACAGTCCCAGCTGTTGCAGGCAAAGAAACACACCATAAAGGGTACTGACTTGTTGAGATGCTCGTAACAGGGCTCACAGACTCTCACTTCCTTCTCAATCCCGAACTTGGGGATGGTGGAATACTTGGAGGAGCATTTGCCACAGAAAATCTGCCCGCAGGCCCTGCAGTGATGCTGCAAAGGATGGAAGACATCAGTGCGGTAGCAAGACACTCCTTCACCATTAGACAACATCGCTCAGACACTCCTGGCACTTCCTTGCCAGTGGCCAGGGAACGCGGTCCAGCCCTGACGCTTCCACGCAGGCTGAGGGAGTCCTGCAAGTCCTGGGGGGCTGTGCAGGACCAGGGAACCCAGAGGGGCAGGAGCGGCACCCACCTTCCGCGTCACGACACCAAACTGCACTCGACATCTGTGACACTCCTCAGCATCGACCCAGTCTGGAGCCTGTCAAGGGTTAAGGAAACTTGCGTAAGGAGGGGAGGAGGGCCTCAAGGAGAGGGTCTCCACAGAACCTTTCAGGAGCTCCTATGGCTAACCAAGGCGCTCTCATGAATGGGGGAGACTGGAAGCATTTGCAGCTCAACAGGAAATATTAATCCCCGCAAGTTATCTCCTCTCGTGTTACTAGAGACTGATGCTTTCCCAGTCAGCAAGAGATTTTCTAGGAACGTGTCTGCACAACAATCGCTTTAGCAATGCCCTGCTGCCATGTTCAGACTGCCATGCTGCTGGAAGGCCACCGAGTAGGGTAAGATAAGACTAACTCCCTGTCCTGGTCAAGTCTCCCCTCCCTCTGGTAGTTTTAGGCTAAATTGCTGTACACCACCCCAGAACTGCCCACGTGACAGCTGGGAGGGGTATGTACCCAGCAAGGTCTCTAAACTGCGTGAAACGGAGGAGTGCAAGAACTGAAGGTTTAGTAGGAAGGGGATAGGAGAGCAAGGTCTGTCCTGCAGTGCCAACTCCCTCCCCACTGGCAGAGCTCACCCTTTCTGCAGCAAACATGGCATCGCTCTCTTTGAACTCCGGGAACACGTGACCTAGGGGAAAAGCGACAGAGTCCTGTTGTGAAAGTGCTCCTCCGCACAGGGAGGCCGTGGTGCCTACAGCCTCGTGCCGTAGGTCCCAGCCACACGTCAGATCCAGCTCAGCACGCCTGCCCTGACCATTATCTTACTCTGACACAACTAACAGCAATCTTCCTCCTGCAGGAGGCCAGAGGGCAATGCTCACACAGCTCTTGCTGCTGTCTGCAAAGTACTGGGCTCTCAGCCACGCTCTCGAACGCACAGGACAATCCCCTATTGGTTTCCCTTATACACCTGTAAGGGACATCAGGGCCCTTTGGACAAGGCTTGTTTCTCAAGACCTTGAACTCAGCATGGGGGGAAAAGAAGCCCACTGCGTGGGCAGAGGGGGCTTTGAGTCTCACCCCTTGAACAGCAAGAGTGTGGCAACACCGGCTCAGTGGGGGACCAGGACCTCCAGGCTTTGCCACTGCCTGTGGAGGTTCTGGCGCACAGAAAGAGGCAGAGACAGCAGCACGTCCTTTCCCTCACAGGGAACGCTGCCATCCCCGGGACAAGAGAGAAAGTGCCATGCTGACACTGTCAGAAAGCCGGAGCCTGGACCCATCCTGGAGGTATTAATGAAAGCCTGGGAGGAAGGAACCACCCCACTGTAAACCCCTTCCCAGAGGACACGCTGATTTGCTGCCAGTTTTCCTGAAGAACATTCGCAGCTCCTGCTTTTCAGGTCTCACTGCCAACCCTTAGTTGCTAGCTGGGCTGGAGACCCAGAGCAAGGCAGCCCCCGATCCTGGGACAATGGGGCTGTCCTCTCTCTGTAGTGGGATTCAGTCACTCCAAGAGGTTCATCAAGTATCGGGCACCAAGAAAATGCTCAGTATTGCAAATCCAGATTTTGCTAACACCAGGCAGGGTCCTGACACCCATTCCTTCTCCTGCCATGCTCCTCCAGAGCAGAGCTGCTTGGCCGATTGTCCACCCACCTTTGCCCACAGAGTCCTCACCTTCAACCTTCATTATCTGATAGGTGTCCTGCACCACCTTGTACTTGGGCTCATTGCGGAAGGCGTGAGCCCAGGCCTGGATAAGGTACAGGATCTTACTGCGGACACTTGTCTCCACTTGCCTCTGCACAGAAAGGGAGGAGGAAAAAAAAAAAAAAATCTGAGCAAAAGACCCTGAAACCCAAAGGATGGTGTGAATCCCCCAGAAGAGAAGCCAGAAATACCATTCATGGAAAGAGAGACTTTAGAGTACTTGTGCAAGGTAAGAGCTGTCAGAAAGCTGCAGTAAGGACAATTCACAGCAAGGACTACCTACTCCTTCAGCTTCCCCACTTCCCCCCTCCAGCACGAACAAGAAAACGTCCTTCAGAGCAGCACGGACCAACTTGAAAAGGGGTACGGTTACAATGCTTTGAGAAAATGCCCATAGGGACTTGCACAATCACTCCCCAGGGCAGGCACGAGCACTGGCCTGCCCAACATCTCACAAGAGTCGCTCATCCCGCACTTAGAAAATTGCGGGACCTACAGCTACCCAGTTGGGCAGAACAGCACAGTCCGCCTCACCCGAGCACTGACAGGGCACCACAAGCTCACAGCTGGAGGGTGTCTGGAGGGTGTCGGTGTCAGGCTGTCAGCACCTCCAGCCCCGAGACTCCTGCCCAGGAATACCCAAAGCTACCTCGGGATGTGACACAGTAAGGAGAGCTAGGAAGCCTGCCCTTTGGAGGCAGGGATGGTTGTATCACAGTTCAAGGAGCCGGAGGAAACTTGGCAAGCCTGTTCCTATCCCAGCCAGCATCTGAGAGCAGCCCTGTCATCAGCTGACCAAGTCATCACACATTCACCTGACCGGCTGCTCCAGAAATCCCCCGGGAAGTGGAGGAGCATTGTCAAGCTCCTATTTCAGCTGGGAGCTCGGCCCACACAGCGTGACTTACTGACAATTCCTGGAGCTCCAAACTTCTATAAGATTTGGCAAAATCCTGCATTCCACAAATGTCACAGCCTTGAACCTCATCAGAACTAAGACCATTTTACCAGCATTGGGCATTCACAAGCAGTAAAGTTCCAAGTGTAGGAGGAGAATGGGTCTGCAGCAGTTATGAAACTACTGAGGCAGACAAGGACTGGAGAGAACCACAAAATCTCTTGATCTGATCTCCTCGGCGCTTGGAGTGGCTGCACTACTATACCTGGCCGTCACATTGCAGCAGTGTTCCTATCTCAGCAGAAAATCCTGCATGGAGACTGAGTCAGCCCTAACAGGAAGGTGACAGGAGAGAGACACCCTGCTACGGCGTGCGAGATGATGGGACTCGCACAGCTCATTCACCAAATATCTGGGTCATCCGGTCGTCTATTTCTGGCAGAAGACAGAGGCTGTAAGGACGGAACAGCGTTACTCTAACAAGCTCTTGTCTGGGCATTGCTGTTCTGGGTCTGGGAGCTGGAGACAGAAGTTCCCATTTCCACTTCACTTGTGGAAGTCTCCAGTCCAAGGACACATGGAGCTCTTGCAGGCATCACGTTGTTTCAAATCGGCAAGTGACAGCTTGTCAGTGAGAACAGCCAGGTCTAGATCCTGCAAAGCTCCTCAAACAACTCCACAGACTAATGAAATGGCCACGATAAAGAGGAAGCTTCTGCCAGTTTTCACCTTGCTGCTTACCTTCCTGTGTGTCTCATACTGTACTACGAGAGTGAATTCACCTCACCGCTGCTCAGGTCCTTGGTGCAACTGCCAGACCACCCATCTCTGTTTTCCTTTGCTGTCTCAAACCGAGCAAAGCGTTGCACCCAGGAGCATTTACCATGACATGGTCTAGTCCTTTGCAGCATACTCCTACCCCACTTCACGGAACAGCCAAACATTACCTTTGCTCTCACGACACCTTCTCTCCCCTAGCAGGCACTCCTTAGCTCCCGACACTCATCCCTTCACATCATGCCACAGTTTGCTCTTTTCTGAAACGCGTTTCCAAACAGTTTCCTTTCTGTTCCTTACACAAAAGGGATGAGAGGATGCGCACATTTTCTCCTTCTGCTGCTTCTCTTACAAGCTCATTCAAAAACAATAGTAAAACACGATATATTCACCTTTAGTATTTCCTTCAGTTCCTCCATAGTCTGTTTATTGGCCACCTCGTCATGGACTGTTTGGCCACAGTTTTTAACCACCGACTCCATGACCTACAAGGGCAAAGGACAATATTAGCCTGCCGCTTTCTTCCTTCTCTGTGGCCCGCGATGCGTCCCGGCACACGTTACAGGTTACTGCGGCCAGCACACCAAGACAGGGGCACTATTTAAGCAATGAGTTGCATTAGGGCAGTGTCAGTCAAGCCAGAGAAATCCACATTGCCACGCTGGAGAGTTAGCTACGCTTCAACTGCACGGTGGCCTTTGTACCTCTGCTATTTAGAGACAGACCCCCAGGGACAGTGTCTCAAGTACAGTGTCTCTGTCTGTTTCTAACTCCGAGATGGAATTAAAGAATGAAACCCACAGCCTGCTGATCAGTCATGAAACCTCTGTGCCAGAGGAAAGAGAAGGCAAACTCCAAGCCGTGACTCGGCTGCTCCCCGGGCAGGGCAGGGCAGGGCAGGGAACGCCGTGCAGACCGCGCAGCCCAGGTAGGCAGGCTTATAAAAGACGCGAAGATCCCTGGCCTGGGAGCCGGGCCCCTGCAGTGCTCACAGTTTGGGTTGACGTTACCTCCAGTGCGTAGAGCGCCACGTGGGGATTCTTGTCATTGACTTTCTTCTTGATAGCGTTGACGGCATATTTTGCTCTGGGTAAGGAAAGAGAGTACACATCCTCAGGTAATCAAGAATCCGAGGGGGGGTTCCACCTGCTGCTGCTAACCTGCTAACCCCCACCCTAACACAAGGGCACAGTTAGCTCATGGTCTACGCAATTCCCCTGAGGCAAACTGGGAAGAGAAGGAACAAGCGCATTCAAGCTTGAGTTTCTCTGAGGATTTCAGGCCAGAAGGTAACCTGCAACTCCTGAGCTCAGGGAAGTACCTCGACACATCAGGGCGTACCGTACTGCCTTTCCGACGCTTTTCTGAAAGGGGGTGACAAGACGCGCGCTACCGCAGGCTGACAGGTCCGAGACCCTCACGCTTCACCTTGCCAAGACACGGAAAGCTGCGCTTGCAGCACATCCAAAAGCCGAAGAGCACTTACTGGGTATCTCCCTGACGGATCATGTCGCAGATCTGCAGGATGGATTCCCAGTCCGTCTCCAGCAGAAGCTGGCTCGTAGCCTTATCTGCAAGGAATAAACCTATTAGACTGCTTTAAGCAGTTCTGTTTATCTCGGCTCTGCGACCGCTGATGCGTTTGCAGGAAAGCTCCCCCGGACACCGGCGATGCCCCAGACCCGAGCGCTCGAGGATAAAAATCCTGATTTTTCCCGGAACGCGCCAGCTCTTCCCCTTCAGACGCCCCAGGGCGCTCGGTAACCTC